AATTGAGAAACCTGAGAAAACACCCTACCCAGGCGTTTTTCACTTTTTTGAAGCAAATTACAAACTGTTGAGTTCCCTAGAATTACAAAGCAATACTTTCTTTAACATGTAGTTACTCCTTACACTGTTCTAGGTTCTAGGGCTGCAATGGTCAGTAAGTCTCGTAGCTGGTGATTGGAAGATAAGCAAAAAGTGTAAAGATAGACAGGTTCCAGGCAATTCCTTGGTGTTATGAAGTCAGGTCAGTGCTTCAATTATATTTTGGTGGGGGAAGAAGGAAAGAAGTTAATTCGGTCTCCTGATACACAGGCCCTTTGTAGGGGCACAGTTTCTGTCATTCCCAGGGCTGGGCTCTGAGTCTCCTAGTCTTCCTCCAAATTGGCAGAATGGAATCAGTGACTGTTTATTTAAACTGAGCTGGCCCAGGCTGCTTCCTTCTGTGGACTGGAAAAGAGGTGAGGGCTGACCAGTAACTCCAGGACAAAGAAGACTGTCTCGTTTTAAACCCTCATCAGCCTTGAGCTAGCTGGATCCTAAGGTGCCTGCAGGGGCAGGAGATTCAGTCCTGGCCCTGGGGCCTTTCTGGAAAAATCTTTCGAATGCCTTCTGGTTGAGATTTGCACGTTTACGTTAAAGGACCTTGGAAAGCTGTAAGAGGTTCTGAAAAGAGTCATGTAATTTTATTTATTGAGTTAGTATTTGCGAATACCAAAAGAATGCCTGACACTGTGTAAGAAATCTCAGTGAAACTAAAAGAAATTTTAATCATTCAGATGTAAAAAGAAAATGCATGAGGTCTCTATATTAGTCCAGCACAGTGTGAATGAGTAACCATATGGAGAAGGCATAAGAGGCTGGGCTTGAGGAGAAAAGGCCAGTGGATTGCATTTTAGTCTTGGTTAATGCTGTAGAAGTGGAATGTTGAAATGGATTCCCCCAGCTTTGTTTTTGAGGCTCTTATTTTTTCGATAAACATGTTAAAAATCATAAAAAACAGTAATTTGACCCAATGCAGGTTGCTGTCCATGTAGTCTTGAACACGCAAGTCCAAACCTTTGAACAGTTTTATATCCTCTCTGCATGATTTCTCTGATAATTCTTGCTTCAGATGCCGTTAATATTTTAAAACAGTTCCTAAACAGTTCCTAACAGTTCCTAGGCACTTGTGATAAGAGTCATAAAATATGTAAAACACAAAGCTCTCAGTCTTTGTGAATTGCAAAGAAAAGTGATGAGAAAAAGTTGAACATTAAGTTTAAATAAATGTCAGTGTAAAAAAAACTACAGCAAACCCAGTAGCAATCTGAACTAAGTGTGAAATTCAAGAACTGCTCTTAATATGGTAGCCACTGACCACAGGTACCTATGGATTCTTTATCCCACCTCTCTTAGGTGGGGGTAAGCTCGGTTGGTAGAGCACATGCCGAGCTTGCGTGAGGTACTTGGTTCAATTCCCAGTACCTCCAATTGAAAAAGGCCGGGGGGTGGGGGGGAGAAGCCACCTTTTCTCTTATTCACAGTCATTCTAGAACTTGTCACTCATTTCCCAAGGTGCACTCTCCTGAGGCAGAAAAAGAACCTCTGGGGTTCTGAACAAATGAATCAGTCTAACTTCTGGTGATGAGGCTAAAAAAGGAAATAACCGTCATCATTGAGTATCAAATCCCTTTCCAACTCCATTGGTTCTTTTCTGTTTTGTTTTGGGTGGAGGTAATTAGGTTTACTTGTTTATTTTTAGAGGAGATATTGGGGATTGAACCCAGGATGACCTTGTGAATGCTAAGCATGCACTCTGACACTTGAGCTAAACCCTCCCCCTTCTGACTCCATTCGTTCTAATTCTTTGTTTTCAATAAAATTGATGGAAGGCAAAATTGAGCTGTCAGCTGGGATTTCAGTACAATAATTGTTAATAATAGATCACAGTGTGACTTGGCTTCTAACTTGAAAGATGTTCAAAGAGTTGAAAGACATCATTATAACAAAATGCCTTCCTTCTCCATCCATTTAGTTATCTAGTTATATGAACAATGTTTGGGGGCACTTACTTTTTTTCACTAAAAAAAGTAATAAAATTAATGCTTGCTCTAGCAATAAGTGCTATTAATCCACTGATACATGATGCAGTGATACATTTCCAATATTTTACTGTCTCTGTTAAATAATTATCAAAATTTGGAATATATATATTGTTTTGATAAGCTTTATAAAATTTGAACTGATTTTAACTGCTATGATAGCTCCATGCAGAATGATTTTTTTATGGTTTGAAGAAAGTTTTTAAATACTAAAATTATTTTTTTATGCAAGGTAGTCTATTAGTTTTAAGCATACAACTATAATACATTGAGATAAAAGTCTGTGAGGAAAGTAGAATAGAAATATAACTTAAAAGAGAAAGAAAAATTAGGTAAGTTTTCCGGTTCTTGAGAGCTTGTTTGGAGGTTCTAGCAGGGGAGCGCAGCTACTCGTATACCCTTGACTGAGTAGAACGGTCCTCCTCTATCGGGGATGGTCGTCCTCTTCCACCGAGCGCCCAGCTTCAGGAGGAACGCACATGGAGTGGTGAGGGAGGAAGGGGACACCCGCCTAGCCAGCCAGATCAGCCAAATCAACCCTGGCGATCAATGGGATGACAGATGTCGCAGCCAGACTGCCCTCACATCCGAGTTTTCTGGTACTTAATAAAGAGATTGTTGATTTTTTTTTAACTTTTGATTTTGACATAATTTCAAATTTCAGAAAAGATGCAAGAATAGTACAAAAAGTTCCAACATACTCTTCACTCAGACTTTTTACTCAGACTCCCCAATTAACTTCTTACTGGGTTTGCCTTGTCAGTCTCTCTGTATGTATGTGTATCTTATATATATATATTCATAATTTTTTCTGAACAATTTATGAGTAAGTTGCAGATATGATGCCTCATTACTCCTAAATACTTCATGTATTTCCTAAAACCAAGGCATAGTCTCCTCATAATGGCAGCACAACCATCAAAATCAGGAAATTATCATTTGTATAGATACAATATCACTATCTAATTGCCAAACTCCATTCAGATTTCTCTTGATTCTTCCAATAATGTCCTTTAAGGGAACCCTCTTACACTGTTGGTGGGAATGTAAATTGGTGCAGCCACTATGGAAAACAGTACAAAGTTTCCTTAAAAAACTAAAAATAGAGTTACCTTATGATCCAGCAATCCCCCTCCTGAACATATATCTGGAAAAGGTGAAAAGTCTAATTTGAAAAGATACATGCACCCCAGTGTTCATAGCAGCACTATTTAAAATAGCCAAGACATTGAAGCAACCTAACTGTCCATCAACATATGAGTGGATAAAGATGTGGTATATATACACAATGGGATACTACTCAGCCATAAAAAAGTATGAAATAATGTTATTTGCAGCAACATGGATGGACCTAGAGATTATCATACTAAGTGAAGAAAGTCAGAAAGAGAAAGACAAATATTACATGCTGTCACTTATATGTGGAATCTAAAAAATAATACAAATGAATTTATTTACACAATAAAAATAGACTCACAGACAAAAAACTTACAGTTACCAAAAGGGAAAGCGGGGGAGTGATAAATTAGGAGTATGGGATTAACAGATACTACTGTATATAAAATAAATAGACAAAGAAGGAGGGTGTAGCTCAAGTGGTAGAGTGCATGCTTAGCATGTATGAGGTCCTGGGTTCAATCCCTGGTACCTCCACTAAAAATAAATATATAAAATAAATTACCTCCCCCCCAATATAATAATTAAAATAGACAAAAAGGATTTACTGTATAGCACAGGGAACTATATTCCATATATTGTAATAACTTATAATGGAAAACAATTGCAAACTATTAACTGAGTCACTTTGCTGTATACCTAGGATCCATTGATGATTCTTCCCTTAATTATTACCATAGTGATTTCCTAATTCTATCATTCCTTCTTCATTTATTCCTTGGAATTCTCCTGTGAGGTAGAACTTTCCCTTTTTTAAATTTATTTTTTCATATCAGTATCAACTCACAGAGTCCTGTTTTACTCAGTAGGTTAAAAAAAATCTATTAATACGTTATTTATTTTGATTCTCAAACTGTCTCAGACTTGACAAATGGGAGTCCCCTCCTTTTAAAATTGTGATAACATGTACATAACATAAAATTTACCACTAATCATTTTTAGGCATACAATTCAGTGGCATTGTGTACTGTCACATTGTTGTACAACCATCACCACCATCCATCTCCAGAACTTTTTAATCATCCCAAACAGAAACTCTGTACCCATTAAACAATAATTCTCCCTTCCCCCATCTTCCCAGCCTCTAGTCCCTCTGTTCCACTTTCTGTCTCTGTGAATTTACCTATTCTAGTTACCTCATGTAAGCGGAATCATGCAGCACTTGTCCCTCTGCATCTGACTTATTTTACTTAATATAATGTCTTTCAGGTTTTCCATGTTGTAGCATGTATGAGAGCCTCTTCCTCACATGTGTCCTTTCTGCCATGTCCCAACCATTCTTTGACCACTTAATTTTCTGGTAGAACAAGATATTCCAGACTCATCTATTCTTTCCCAAGTCCAGGCCTCGAATGGACCATTTCTCCAAGAAGCTCCGGCTCTTTTTCATAGAGGATGATAGTGACAAATATCTGGGTGTGCTCATAGCTACTGGGGTATCATTGCTTTTAGGTTGTCTCAGTGGATAGAACTGGGAAATATATTTATGTATATGTGTATATATACCCACATATATAGAAAGAAACAGAGATAGATGTTTGTATGTTTACAACTATTTTTATATCAATCTACCATATGTATTAAAAACTCATGAGTATACACCAATAACTCCAATTCCAATTCAACACCAAAGAGTTTATTCTAGCCTTCCCTCTTCTCATGATTTTAACTCTATTCTCTGACAATAAGAAGACAGATGCCCATTAAAATTCTCCAGTGTACAAATGTATGTAATTCATCTATTAACAATGGCTGGTTGAATCGCTGGCCTCAGAATGTGTCAACCCCCAACCCCAGCCAGCTATTCTTGGTCAAATTCTTGACTCATATTTTAAAATGTATACTGATGGACAGCACATAACTGGGATATTTCAATTCCATTGATGACAGATAAAAAAGTGATATAAAAGTTTTCATTTAAAATGTCAATACTCCCAATTGCATTAAAAATGACATCCTTTACAACTATTTAAGCTTATCACGAGAACTTTTAGATGTCAGATTTAAAATATGTGGCAGTATCTAGTTTTACTAAGTTATTTAGGGACCATAAGAACAAAAAAAGTTTTGAGACCATTGTAGCAGAAGAATAGAACTGAACCATTAGGAGAGAGACAGAGAAGATAAGAGTGAGGGTAATCCAGTGAAAGGGAGAAAGAGCAATAATTGTTCCAAAAAATATAAGAGAAGAGGACAATACAAGAAATATGGAAAGTAAAAATAACAAAATTCAAAAAATATTAAAGGAGAAACAAGATAAATAGAAAACATGAAATAACATGGTAGGAATAATTCCAAATATATAATCAAAAATAAATATGAATGGATTATATTCCCTTCATAAAAGGAGGCTCTGGTTTAAGTGAAAAATCCAAACTCCAGCTATATGCTGTTTATCAGAGATACACATAAACCAAAACAGCATAGAATGGAAAATGGCTTCCCAGGCAAATGTTTACAGAAAGCAAGCATGTGAATTCAGACAAAGTAGAATTTAATTCAAAAGCATTAAAAAAGCACAAAGAAGTGCCTCTTCTGTTGATTAAAGGCACAAGTTATGAGTCAGACATTTTATAAATACAGTAGCATAATTTTGAAATGTATAAAACCAAAACTGAAATAAATGGTGAAAATGACAGATGCACAATCAAAATGGGAGAATATACCTCTCAGAATCCTCCGAGGGAGCAGACAACAAAGTTGTGACAAGCACAGTTCACAAGCCTGAGCTTATAAAGAACTCTCCTCTCCACCAAGAATGTGTGCTTTTTGCAAAAGAGAAATAGCCACAACACTTGATTCTATTTGACTCTTGCAGGGTAAGATCGACCATTGTGTTTTAGGGTTTGGAAACGGAATTGTTTCCAAGTTTTGACCTTTGTGAATAAAGCTGCTGCGAGCATTTGTGTACATATCTTTGTGTGAAAGAAATGTTTATATTTTCACTTCTCTTGGGTAAATACCTAGTAGCGAAACTACAGGATCACGAGGTCAGCGTATGTTTAACATTTTTAGAAACCGTTTTCCAAAGTGGCTTTATTATTTGACATTCCCACCAGCAGCACGTGGCTTTCTTATACTGCTGTTGCTGATTGTTATTTAACTCTTTCATTGTTACTCAACTTCTCACTTGTTTACTTTGTTACATGTTTTTCTGACCAGATTTCAACAAGCTCATTAGAAATAAAAATATGTGTTGTACTTCTTTGTGTTTAGTATAGTGCTGAGTACCTATTAGACATGCAATCTATTTTTTAAATGATTATTAAACTGTTTCTCTGCAATATGCTTTAACAGACAGAACATCTTTTAAATTATTCTGAAAGACTGCTGCATAATACCATTTTCTTGAAAGCGGAATTCAACATAAGTTTGGTTTATCTTGGACTCGTTACTAAAGCCTGGAATGTGCTCATTTTAAGACACTAAGCCAGTATTTCTAGTTACGCACACAGCATCTATTCTACTTTTCTTCCTTATTAAAAAAAGGTTTTATTTTGTTCAGGGTACCTAGCTGAAAACGCTCAGCTTCTAGACTCCCTCAAAGCTATGAACAGCTGTGGAATGAAGTTCAGCTGTATGAGTGGAAGTTCTAGGCAGAGAGGATTCCAGGGAAGTTTGTTAAATGAAGACTTCTCTGGGATACCTTTCACCTTTTGCCTGTTGCCCCTTTCTCCCAGGCAATGCTGCTTCTTGCCTGGATTGCTGATGAAAGTTTGAAATATTGAGAAAGTTCAGCAGCCATTTTGCAAGTATGAGGAAGGAAGCTGCATGCTAAGGATGTCAGAGGGGAAAGAGAGAAGGAGTCCGGGTTACTGGTGGCATCCTGGAGTGGCCATCTAGCCCTGACCTAGCTCTGGACTGCCCACTTCCAGGTCCCAAATTACATGAGAAATAGGAATATCATAGTGGCTGGGTTTTTATAACACACATGCATACAACACAATCCTCACATTTACAGGCACTTTCCTACTACACTGCTCTAAGTTAGATTTTCCAAATACTGTTACTGGTTTTCTCATGAATAGGCTACTAGCACTGCTAAGGATCAAGTGTGCTTAAGTATGGCAACTGGAAATAAGTGGGTCCCAGGGACATAATTTTTATCAGTGGGACTTTCTTCTGATACCAGGAAAAGAGATGAGTCATTTAGTCTTATAGCATCTCTATTTTGTGGCCAGGAAAAATTGAGATTCAAAGGGCCAAAATAATCAGTTTAAGGCTACAGGTTACTTTTCCAGCTTATCTGTCTGTCCCATACACGAGTCTTATCATTTTCCTGGAATGTCCTTTTCCCCTGAGTTTGCCCAGCAAAGCCCTGCTCATCTCTCTGTTTAAACCATAGTTTCTCAACCTCAGCATTATTGACATTTGGGGCTGGACTGTTCTTTGTTGTGGGGGGCTGTCCTATGCATTGTAGGATTTTGATAGCATCCCAGGTCTCTACTATTGGTTGCCAGTAGCACACCCCCCCTTCCCAGCTATAACAACCAAAATTGCCAAATGTCCCCTGGGAGCCAAGATCTCCCCTAGCTGAGAATCATTGCTCTAAATTCTTGTCAAATATCACCCTCCTGTGCACCTGCACAGTCTTCCACCAAAATACCTGTGATGCTTGGCAGTACAAGTTCATCTGCCTGGAGCTCTGTATTAGACTGGAAGCTCCTTGAAGGCAGGGGAAGGAAAATCCCAGAGAGAGAAAGAAAGGAAGAAAGAGAGAAAGAGAGAGAAAAAGAAAAGGAAAAAGGTCCAGGAGAAGAATGGATGGAAATAGAATTCAGGAGTCCTGGCTCTGTGGTGCCACGATTCTGACCCTCACTGTTAAAGACTCATTGTTAAAGGCCTTTGCTTGGTGTCATATTTTATAGGCTCCCATGCTATAGTCAAGGGACAGATTCTAGCAAGAAAGCTCCACGTTGCTTATTGTTCTGGCTCAGCTCAACACCCTGATCAGGCCTGATGGAGAGGAGAAGGCATATATAGCTGGCTCCTGGCTGTGGTGCTTTGGATGCTGCCAACAAAATTGGGATCATCTAAACTGAATCTAGCTGGCTAATTCTAAATATAAAATTTTTCACTGTATTAAAATAAAAAGGGGGGGCTCCTGAGCACATGGAGCTCCCCAAACACCAGTTAAAATGGAAAAGGAAAGCAAAAATTTAAGACAACTTTTTATATTCTCACAAGGAGAAGTGAAAAACTCCTAAATGATATGAGTGAAGAACGAAGGTCTGTATATAATATTTTCGTTTCCTTTATGGACACAAAGTTGCACCTTAATCTTGCAGAAGGTGCTATGTATACCCATCTCCCAGTTCCAATTTCCCCTAATGCTGTCCTCTTACACAATCATGGTACATTTGTCACAACTAAGAAACCCACTGGATGCACAGAGATTCATTACCCACCCCAAGAAATGGATGAAGTTCTTTGGTTTGCTAGGACGAGTGATTCCAGTGCTTTTAATTTCATGACCATGTGTTTAGAGGTGGACGTCTGTGAACTGTTTGAGTAACGTTTAGACGCCAAAGGTATGGGCAGGAAACCCTCCTGGTTGCATTGACGGATGTCTCTTTCAGTCCTGCGGCTGCCCAAACCTTCCTGGAGAAGAGTTGCAACACTCCCTGAAGCTCCTTTGTGTGTGTTAGGGTTCTAAGAAATTCAGTACTCCGTTGACTTCAAAATGCTGCAGCTCTGTGCTCAGTAAATTAAACAGAGCTTAAAAGGGCACAGCAACAAAAGGAAAAGGTTCGTTTGAAAAGTGATATTGAAAGGATATTGCACGACTCTCTTTTTCACACGGCATTGACCCAGATCAGTAAATGGCTCAACATCTGGTTTTATCTCTTTAAAGAAAGCACAAACTCTCCGTTATCAAGAACTTGACTGACGCCAAGGTTCAAAGGCAGCTACAAAAGCAAGTTTTATCTTACTTGAAACCAGTTTCAGCCCTGCAGGCCCCCTTCATTAGTCCTAGGAGAATAAATATCAATTCACTGGTTTTGAAAATGTTTAATAAACATTTTGGGGGGCTTAACTTTACATTGACAGAAAAGTTGCAAAGCTGGTAAAGAGAATTCCATATGCCGGCACCCCACATCCTGGTTCCAGTTTCCCCCAATGTCATCCTCTGACACTGCCATTAGTAAATTTGTCGAAACTCAGAAACCAACACTGACACAGTGCTGTTAACTAGACTCTAGACTTTATTTGGATTTCAACAGTTTCCCTCTTAATGTCTGTTTTCTGTTCCAGGATCTTGCCTTGGTTTTGATGACTTAGCTTCTGTTTGGTACATCTGTTTTTGCAGAGTGTTTCATGACTAAGTTCAGTAAATGATACTTATTTGAAGAACTGGATTTACTCAGGTTCAACCCTCCCAGACACATACACACCAAAGGCTCTGACTCCAAAATAACAGCAACTGGATCCCTCTCCCTTTGGTGAGGTGGCCCTTGCCTTTGGGTGATGCTGTGAGTTTTTTTCAAGACCTGGCTCGTGAAAGACTGGATTTCCGCAGAATGGCCCAGAGACTCACAACATTAAAAAAAAAAAGAAAATCTCTTTTATTTATAGCTGACTGTGCATCTGATATTCCCATGGGGAAAGAGAGCAAGCTGAACATTTTCTATTCTCTCCTCTCACAATCTTTTTTTTTTTTCTATGAAAACAGCCAGGATTTATGTGGTTCCATAAGCCAGCTGGATAAAATATAGACCAGACTCCGGTTTGGTGGATAAAGGAGATATGAGAAGAGAAAAGCTTTGAGAGTGAGGAGGGAATAGGATTAGGATTGCTTCCGAGAAGATTGGAACAGAGACCATCTACCTTCCATTTCCAGACCCTGTAAGAATGGTCCTCACACCCGGGGGACGAGGTGCCTGGGCTTGTGACATAGATGGATGGACTTCAGGCTGGTTTTCAGCTCCAACACACTAGTTAGGTTACCTTGGACAGGTTACTTACCCTCTCTGACCCTCAATTTCCCTGTCAGTAAAATGAGAATCAGGGTTGAACAAGATAATGTGTTAAACACCATTTGTGACACAGAGAAAGCACACAAGGCGCGTGAAGTACTGTTGCTACCGAGGACAGTCGATCCTCAACACCAGGTGCCGTTCCCACGTGCCTCCTGGTTTCCCATTCATCTCACTCTTTCTTCCATCTTCTGATATTTGATAGCTAAGAAGTTCGACGGGTCCCAGAATGCTAAGCAGAACAATGGAGGGTCCAAGTCTTTAAAATATGTCCAAGTATAAAATCTGATCACTGGTCACAAGCAGGGACAGGGTCTGCGAAGCAGCAGGTATGTCATAGTGATGCACACTAGGTGTGTTTTCCCCAGTTGCTCCCTCTCCCAACCAGAGAACAAAATGCCCACTTGACCCCTGGGTGGGCCAGTCGTGGCCACCAGCTGCCAATGACCGACTCTGTCAGTGTGACCTAAGGCAACATTCCCAGCAGAGGGCTGCAAACATTTACCGGGCACACAGACCCGTGACCTCCAGTGAGATTTGGGGGCAGGGCTTGGATTCCACCATACCTGGGGGTGGGTGGCTTGTGGGAGCTGCACTGCACAGAGCAGGTGAGCGAGGCTGCAGGATCTGGGAAAGAAGAGGTTGGGTTCTCCACTTTTATAAAGGGACCCTGTTGTTTCATACTAAACACAATCATTTTCCATTTGAAAATGGGTTGTATTTTCCAGCTGAGAGCTCCAGAATTATAGTTGATTACAGTCCTTGGGATCCACAGTGTGTTTGCAAAAGCTCTTGTCATGGTCTGTGCCTGCCTGATCCACAGCCTCATGGGGAGCTGAGAGGTGGAGGACCGACCCCTGAACTTGAGCAGGACCATGGGGCTTAGTGCTTGGCTCTGCTGGGTGAGCTGGAATAAACCATGAACCTCTTTCAGGAGCTTTCTTTTTCATTGTTGTCATTTGTTTTTACTAGAAAAGGTAGGAATGTGCATGAAAGCAATCTCGCAGAGCAAGTGCCTGGAACACAGCAAGGAGCTTGTTGCATTTAATTCCAGATCCCAAAGCAAAGGCAGTCCATCTGGGCATGAGCCTCTTCACTTCACTGGAGAGGCTCTGCCTTGGTACCTGAAGGAGGATGACTGCAGTAGGGCCAGCCTCCTGTGTGAGCACCCCACCCACCCACAAATGGCCTCCTCGACACAGGTGACCGGAGCGCCCACCGACCCAGCCACAGACCCCAACCTGTCCAAGGACAGGAGCATCCCTGAGCTAGAATCTCAGGAAAGCAGGCTTCATAAAGGAGGCAATGTTTGTGAGGGCCTTGAAGGATGCATAGGAGTTTGCACAGGATTTAGCTTTAGTTTTTTTTTAATTGAAGTATAGTTGATTTTAAAGAGGAGAGATAAATTACGATTTAGCTTTACTTTGTCCCCTGCCCCTTCTCCCTGCTAGAGAGCTAGATGCCACCTGGCCCCCGAGCTAGAATCTCAAGAAAGCAGTAGTAGTTCATCTGGTTGCTAAGACAAGACCTGAAACTAACACAACATATATATTCAGCCTTTAACACCTGCTGCTATTCATGAGACTAAGTGGATAAGAGGATCCTTCTGGGACTCTGTATGCTTATTTCAACTCTTCTGGGACAGCCCTTGTCCCCTTCCTACCTCATTCTTAGCCCCCCTCAAGACTTCTTTGCTATTGTTGTTTTAACCAACAACTTTTCTTTCTTTTTTAAACATTTTTTATTGAGTTACAGTCATTTTACAATGTTGTCTTTCTTTCTATCTTTTTTTCTTTCTTTCTTCCTTCCTTCCTTCCTTCCTTTCTACAACAACTTTTCTTTAAAAATGGAGGCAAGAGTGCTTGAGAGAGACAGAGAATTTCCCTCCTGTCCTCCCCACCCTTTTCTTGTTTGGCTTTAAATTCTGCACAGTCACTCCCTCCGCCGTTTCTTACTCTCTCCCTAAAGGAGCTGGAAGGAATTTCTGGGTGTCTGGGCTCAGGCGGTGTTGTCCTTGGAGCCCCAGGGAGAGGTTATCTCTTGGGGTCAGGAACCGGAACCGGGATGGGAACCTGGGGTTCTGAGGTCTTAGGCCATGGCCCTCCCTGCAGCTCTCCCGCCTCCTCACTTTGCACAATGACGTAGCTGACATTTTCCATTTCATCTTGTTTTTTCTCTGCAACCTACTTGGCACGGCAACCATAAATCAACCTGCTTCCTCCTTGGCATTTCTTATGTGTATCCTGCTGAAATTAAAAACTCAAAAGGAAGAGGCCCTGTAGACCCTGAAATGTTCAGCTTGCCTTCTGGCCTTGGCCACTGGCTTGACTGGTCCCACCTGCTCTCCTGGGAGAGCCGGCAGCTGACGAAACCTCCCTTCCAGTAAGTGCTCTTGTTTGCATATCCTGGTTCAAAAACAGGAACCGCTTGTTGGAAATCGATCAGGTAGGTAAAGTTACTGATGGAGTGGATTTGCTTCGAGCTGCAGGCAG